TGGGGATTCGAACCCGCCACCTTAGGTGTATGTGGCTGGCGCCTTAGCCGCTTGAGCCACAGGCGCCGAGCCAGCCACCTGCTAATTTTATACGAATATACAAATTATAAGAATGCAAAATTCTATCGTATTACAGAATATTCTCAGGTTTGTTGTATATTGGGAAGAGTCTCTACAGTTTACAGCCCTGAATGGGGAGCCCAGGCCATTCCTTTTTTTTTTTTTTTTTTTTTGCCGTTTTGGGCAGGGCCGGGGGTGAATCCACGACCCCCAGTATATGGGGCCAGTGCCCTACTTCTTGAGCCACAGGTGCCGCCCGCCCAAACCATTCCAAATAAGCAAAAAGCATCCAATGAGATACTTTTTTTTTTTTTTCTGAGATAGAGTCTCACTATAATGTCGTCAGTAGACTGCCATGGAATCACAGCTAACAGCAACCTCCAACTCTTGAGCTTAAGAAATTCTCTTGCCTCAGCCTCCCAAATAGCTGGGACTATAAGCGCCCGCCATAACGCTGGGGTACCAATGAGATGCTTTCTCATGATCCCTTTCAGCTGATGCCTTACCTGTATAACGTTTTCCTCTGTTGCCTTTCATGGCAGGCCTTCATCCTTAGCATTCAGTCAGTGAATACTTATTTATGAGCACTTACTATATGCAAAAACACATAATAGGTATGGAGAGAAGAGATGTAAATATGACCATACTCAGGTATGGCCATCACAGATTTTTTTTTTTTTTTGTAGAGACAGAGTTTCACTTTATCGCCCTCAGTAGAGTGCCGTGGCATCACACAGCTCACAGCAACCTCCAAGTCCTGGGCTTAGGTGATTCTCCTGCCTCCACCTCCCAAGTAGCTGGGACCACAGGCGCCACCACAACGCCTGGCTATTTTTTGGTTGCCATCATTGTTTGGTGGGCCCGGGCTGGATTCGAACCCGCCACCCTAGGTGTACGTGGCTGGCACCTTAGTCACTCGAGCCACAGGCACCCAGCCCATCACAGATTCTTAAAAGAAACAATTTCCAATACTCCCAGGGTAATTTGAAAGCAAATTGTGGTAAGTGCTACAAAGGAGATATGCAGCTGCTTTGTAGTAGGTATTAATTTACTTGAAGTGGAAGGAGAAGTGCTTTTTACAAAAGCAATTTGAGTGGGGTCCTAGAGTGTGGCTGGGGTAGAAAAGTAAGATTGCAGAGTGTGGGGGAGGTGAAAAGGATGGACCTTACTGGCCATGACTAGTGGCTTGACCAGGAAGAGCACATCACGTTACAGTAAGCCTTTCATCTGGACCCTGTGCAGTGTTCCTACCCACTCAGGAAAGTTTTTTTCAGGAACTTTTGTGAGCCAGTTGTTAAACATAGTCATTATTAAAATTAAATTATGTAAATTTACAATTAAATAAATTATATATATAATTAAGCAAAATAAATAACAATACAAAAATTAAAATAATACAAACTTTTTTTTTTGAAGCAGAGTCTCCGTATGTCACCCTTGGTAGAGTGCCATGGCATCAGAGCTCATAGCAACCTTCAGCTGTTGGACTTAAGTGATTCTCTTTCCTCAACCTCCCATGTAACTGGGACTACAGGCACCCCCCATAACGCCTAGCTATTTTTTGGCTATAGTTGTCATTGTTGTTTGGCAGGCCTGGGCTGAGTTCAAACCTGTCAGTTCCAGTGTATATTGCTGGCACCCTAGCCGCTGAGCTATAGGCACCTAGCCAAATAATATAAACTTTAAGACAGTACAGTATAATAACTCTTTGTATAGTATTCAGATTATATTAGGTGTTATAAGTAATCTAGAGATGATTTAAAGTATATGGAAAGTTGTATTGGCTATATGGAAATACCCTGCCATTTTATATCAGTATTTTTTTTGAGACAGAATTTCACTTTGTCACCCACAGTAGAATGCCATGGCATGGTGTCATATCTCTTTTTTTTTTTTTTTTTTTTTTGAGACAGAGCCTCAAGCTGTCCCCCTGGGTAGAGTGCCGTGGCATTACAG